TCTGCGGGTGGGAGGACGCGCGGGATTTCCCCGCCTGCTTGGTTTGCTTGGGCGGGAGGGTTTGCTGCACCGAGGAACTCGGCTGGGCCTCGGCTACTTCGTCGTCAGAGCTGCAGGAGGAATCTTCGTCCGTAGTGGAGGAGGAGGAAGAGCTGGAACTCGATGAAGAAGAGGTCGATGAGGTGGAGGAAGAGGAGGAAGAGGAAGATGAAGAGGAGCTGCTGCTAGAAGAGGAAGAGGAGGAGGAATTGGAGGAAGAGAGAGGGGTGGATGCTCTTGAGCTCGCTGAACTGCTGTCCTGGGCTTCCCCTCGGTTCTTATCAGCCTCCTCTTCTCCCTCTGACTCCGAGCTGCTGTCGCTGCTGTTGCTCTCAGACTCTTCCACTGCTGCTGGAGCTGCTGCCTTTTCTTCCTGGTCCTTGGAGGCAGTGAGGCTCTCCACTGAGCCATCAAACTTTCCTCCAAAGCTGGCAGGAGAAGGGTCTCCCTCAGCCACTTTGGCTCGGGAAGATTTCTGCTTGCCCTCCACACTCACTGCAGCGGAATAGCCCAGCCCCAGGAGACTCTTCCCATCTCTGCGGCTGGCCAGGTTTGAGTCCTCCAGCATCCTCATCGCCTCCTTCATCTTCTTTGTCTTTGGAGACATCACGCCCTCATGGTCCAGCTTGATCAGGATTTCGCTGTCATGCTTCCTCTGAGCCTTGACCACAGTGCCAAACTCCTGTGTCTCTTCTGTGGGCCGCCCTTTCTTGGCCTTGGCTTTCGACCCTGAAGCCTCACTGGAGCCGAAGGCTGCCAGTGTTCCTGGGAGGTCACTGTAGGGTTCTGTGCCAAGGATGCTGCCGAACACAGCAGGTTGATAAGTGGGCTGGGGGGGGCTGTGCAGCTTAGTGGAGATCTTCATTTTGCTGGCTTTTGACCGCTTTTCCTCCGTGGGAGCAGGAGAGCCTCCAGTTGGCAGCGGTTGCGATTTTCTTGACCCCTTCATGCTTGGCTTGCCCAAGCAGGTTGGCTTCTCTGGGACTGAGGAGGTAACAGGTGAGGACTCACCCTGATCCTTCTCTTCAGGCAAGGCAGCCTCTTCTGCAGAAGGGAGGAAACACAAAGACATGATGTTATTCATCCAGATGGGCTTTATTAGCTCAGACTCAACCAGACGCCAATGCTGACCCATCTCTGGCCAAATGTGGCTTGTTCCTGACTGCTCAGGTACCCCAAAGGGACACAGGTACTCACTGCTCACTGAGCAGCCTGGCCTGATGCCAGTGCCCATGGGCAGCTGATGGGTAATGCCCAGAGATGCTGCTTCAGCTTCAGGGGTCTCAAACTGCAGATCTCCTGCTCTAATTTGGGGAGAGTAGTAGGGAACTGTGCAAAGATTCCACAAACTCCAGGTGTGGCAGTGGTCACAACCTACCAGCTTTTGCCTTGACACTTGGCTTTCTCCCTCGCCCTTTGCCCTTTGACACGGGCTCCTCTGATCCCAGTGCAGTTCCTTCTTTTCCTTCTCCAGTGTCTTTGCTGGATTTACGGCTACGGCGCTTGGTGCTGGGCACCAAAAGGGCAGGGGAAGGCTCAGCACCTGCAACAGGTCAAAGTGATAGTCAAATACAGTCAAACAACACATAAAACAGAGATGTGACTCAGGGAAAGTATCCCAACTGATTCTGCAATAGGGACTGGGCCATTTTTCCCTGTGGGTTATATCCCGCCCCAGCTCTGTTGATGATGGTGCAATCTTTGTGACTGAAAGTCTGTGAACTTGTCCCAAAATCTCAGAGGCAACTGGCCTGAAACTCCCCACATTTCATAGTGGGAAGTATCTTGCAAAAAACTGAACGGCAACACTCACACTGGATCTTGTAGTCAGGTGGGAGAAGCCGAATGTGAGACAGTGGGATGCGTCCCGTGTCCCCATCATCAAACTCTACTGTGATGAGATCACCATCTTCCTCCAGATCTAGGGTTCCTGTAGGGTGGGGGAGCAGAAGGTGGGATTAGGAACAAATGCTACAGTACAAACCCCTTGTAAGGCAAGTGGGGACAGGGGGAAAGACAGGGATCCTGCACCAGCTCCAAAGCATCCTTTCCAAAGCAGGGAGGGCACACTTTGCAATGGAAAGTCCCTGATAATACTAAACCAGCCCACCCAGTGTGAAATTCCCCAGTCAGCAGCAGTCCTCCAGAACATAACAGCCATTCCAGTTTGACTCTCCACCTCTTTCCACTTTTCCCTTCTGTTCTTGCAGAAATTCACTTCCCTGTTTTCATTGCAGTATCTGTTTGGGTTTTTTTACCTCCAATTTGTAACTACTCTCAGCAATCACAAACTGCTGCTATTTCACCTTCTCCAACAGAATTGTGTTCCCACCCTCTCTTCTTGCATCAGCATTACTGGTCTATAACTCACAAATAATTTTTCCTTTACACACATGTAGTGTGACCAATGGCCCAAAAGCAAGACCAGCCATGGCAGAATTGCCCAGAGCTTTCACTGGCTTTTTAATGGGACCAGATTGGGGAGTTGATATGTCAGAAGTGAAGCTGTGTGTGTCCAGGTGATGTAGAAACCTCCACAACCTCAGAAATCACTGGTGCTTGGAGTCAATTCTGCCTTCTAAAATGTATTGAATTTCCCTGATATTTTTAAGCTCCTAAATTGCTCAGACCTCTTCCTGAACCAACAGGATGTCACTAAATCAGCATTATGAATGAGTTGGGCGTGATCTGAAGGAGAGGAATGGGCCAGGCTCTGACCTCCAGGATGCTCACAGCAGAGCTCAGGGCTTCTCCAGACAAGCCTGACATCCCTCAGGACACACAGGACCGAGACATCCCGGGTTCACCAGGCGTCCTTACCTCGGACAACTGTCCCTGGGTAGAGGCAGCGGTACTGCTGGCTCCAGTAGGCTGCAATCCTCGTGCCCTCGGGCAGGAACCGCACTGAAGGGGGTTTCACATCGATGATCTGCTCAGGACAAGAGGAAGGCAATTACTGACATTCCTTGCACCAGCACAGACCATCCCACCACACCTGGCATGGAGCAAAGCAGCTCCGGAGAAGGCAAGGGACAGTCTCCCTGCTGGGAAATGGCCTCCTGTCTGCTCACAGGGCAGGGTGAAGGACTATCCCTGCTGGAATACAGAAGTGGTGCCCACTGCCAGTGGCCATGGGGCAGCAAGCACACCAAGGGGAGGTCTGCCCACACTGGCCACAGAGGCAGGAACAGGGCATCCCTGCAGCCCCAGCTGGGGAAGGGAATGAGGTGGTTTCCAGCTTGCCTCCTCCACCCCAAAACAGGGCTCAGGCACCAAGGTCAAGCACCCTTTGGCCTCACATACCGCTTCCTGCAAGAGCTGCTCCAGGCAGTAAATGTGGGGACGGTTTCCCCTCTCACCTTCCACCACCACACGGTATCTGAAACACAGAGGCCCAGTCAGACACGGCACATGGGAGACATCACCCCAACCAGTAACAGCTCCCTCAGAGCCCCACCACCAGTTTATGTCAGTGCATTTAACGAGACGTTAAAGGGATTTTCCTCAGTGCTGATACACCAGAGTGAACTCTCCTTCCCTTCCTCCCTGCCAGACTCTGTCAGTCTCTGGGCAGCCAGCTCTACAGAACCCCCAAATGGATCCCTGCAGCAGCTATGTCTGGCAAATCCCAGGTGGATACAGCAGTCCCTCAACTCACATGTCTGGTGAATGTACCGTCTTGACATGCCCAGCATAGAGCAGCTTGTCATCCATGGGGATGAGGACACGCAGACCATCTTTCAGCTCATCCTTGTCAATGATGCAGGAACGAGGAGCTGTGAGATGTTGGAGTAAGATGGGGATTAGAGAGCACCACACATGGAAAAGGGACATAGAGCGGAGAAGGAAACCTCACACTCGCAGCATCCCCCTCCCCTTGGAAAAGGCCAGCAAGCAGAAAGGGCTCGCTCTCTCTCTCTCTTTGTCTCTCTCTTTCTCTCTGGCTAGTTCCTGGCAGAGGTAACAGAAAATTAATAATAATAAATAATAAGTCTCCCCTCTTAGTAATAACAACATAGCAATAAATGAAAATAGGCCAACTCAAAGACTGGGCTTCAACTACATGTCAAAGTGGGACGCTCTGACAAGGCTTGTTTTTAACTGAAGTCACTGAAAAAGTGATATCTCCGCCCCAAAGACTCATATCTTTGGATGAGGAACACGGGAAAGCAGCACAACAGTCCTCCTCTGAGCAGCCCTGAGAAAGTTGCCCAGTCCCTCTACCTGTACAATCAGCCCCCAGCCCCTCCTGCCCTCACCTGGTGTGGGTGGTCGCTCGACCAACATGCTCAGTGGGATGTTCTCATCCTCTGAGAAGCTGCTGTCTTGGTTGGGTTCAAAATCCTCCTCTGCTGCCATGCTCTCCATGAGCTTGCTGACAGCTCCTCCTTTCCCTCGGTTCTGCAGGAGAGCAAGCAAGTACATCAGCTCATCAGCAGAACAGGCAACAGTCTGATCCCATCTCACCTTCTTCCAGTGACAAATAACCTGAGGGTATTGGGACAAACTTGTCTCCGTCCTCAGCAATGTTAATCACACAGAGAGTTAAGTGGGTGAACCCAAGCTTTTTGCTGGGTTTGTCCTGAAGCACCACTGACAGTTGACCAAAAGCTATTCCCCACATGCTTATTCCTGGAGGTTAGGAGAGATGCTGTGGAGCAGAGAGCTGCAGCTTTGCTCTGCATTCACCATCTCTGCACAGTGTTCCTGACCCCTCTGCCTTTGGTGAACAGGTACCAGGCACTGTTGCTATTTCCTCGCAAATCTCCATGATCTGTTTCTCCTTGTTACACGCAGACCGTAAGTGTTACGCTCAGAAATCGTGTGAGACGACCAGCAATGTGTGTTATGAGGGATGACAGGCTACAGCAGCAGAGCAGAAACCAGCTGTGACTCAGTGCTGAGCAAGGCAACTCCATCACCATCTCCTTGATCCTTGCTATCCATGAAAGCTCTCTGTGAAGGCTCTCCCTCCACCCTGTGGTGGCCTTAGAGAAAATCCTGCCTGCTCACTAATTTGGGAGATGAAGGCAAATGAACGCCAGATGGTAGCAGCAGGTACTACCTGACAGTCTTCCTTGGATTTTAGGCTTCTCAAACCAGCCTTTTGCCTGTAACACACTCAGCAAAACCAGCACATCTGTACTTCCCTCTCTCACACTGCAACAGCTCAGGAAAGAGCACAGCTCTGCCAGCCACCCTCCAGCTCACCCACACTGGAACCAGCCCCTCACCTCTTTTTTCACCTCCTTGGCTTTCACCTTGGCTTTGCTCTTCTTGGTGGAGCCCAGGGCATTTGCCAGGCTGACACGAACATCAGATGGGGAGCTAGGGATGCCAGGAGGAGACATGGATGAGGAAGAGGAGCAGCAGGGTGTTTCTTTCCCCTTCTTCCGTTGCTAAAAATAAAAAGAAAACACTTCCATTAGTAAAGAGAGAATTGATAAAGATCTGGGACCAGGGAGAGGAGAAAGGTGGAGCAAAGCAGGCTGTGCATAGGTAGTATGATGTTCAGCCACATCATGATGATGTTCACTGATCACATCACATGTCCCAGCTCTGTTTTCTGGCTTCACACACTTTATGAAGAGCTTTTCATTACCCTGGAGAGTGAATCCTGACCGTCAAATCTTCCTCTGTAGAGTTCCAAGAAAATCCCAGTTGGCCTCATGTCACAACTAACTTGTCTAACTCTCCCCATCAGTACTGCTCCAAAACACTGCCATGAACTGAACGGGAGCCAGAGGGAGCAGAGCTTTCAGCTGAGATGAAAACCCAGTAAACCAGGGATCACTGCCACCCCCAGCCAGGGACAGCCCCCAGAAGTCACAAGTTAAAGGTGAACAGCCTTAAAGGCCAGCACAGGGGACACAGTTCAGCAAGTGAATAAGGTCATGCGGATAGTGGGAGGACTGTCCACTCTGGCCAACCCAAACAGGTTGGATTTGGGATATGGAGGTTGACACAAGTAACCAGCCCCGTTCAGCCACGATAGGTTTTTACTCCCTGCAAGTCAGATCCAAGTCTGACAGATCCTCTAGGTGTATGTGGGGCTGGCAGGGGTGCCAAGGGGCAGCCAAACAACTGCTGAGACATGACTCGACTCTCCTCTGCCCTAGCAGAGTTAACTGCCCTCCCCACACCCTCACCCAAGGGTCCCACACCAATTTTGACAGCACATTCCTCACCTTGCTTAGCTCCTTTCTCTCCTTCCCCTTGCTGCCCTCCTTTTTGGGGCTCATGGGTGCCCCCTTGCCACAGCGCCCAGGCTTGGAGACAGGGGTGGAGCTGGCAGGGGCCGCAGACGTCAGCATGGCCGAGGACGTGGTGGCGTCGTGGAGGAAGATCCGCTCGCTCCGGCGCCGGTTCCACAGGTCATCATCGCTGGCCTCCAGCCCAAACTCAAAGCTCAAGTCCTTGGGGGATTTGAATTTCTTCAACTTGCGGCCTTTCTCAGACCCAAGCTTGGCCTTGTCAGCGCTCCCAGATCCAGAGTCGAGGCTGCTGGGGGCCTGGTTTGGCGGGATGCTGCTTGAGTCCAGTGGCCCCTTCTTTCCCCGCAGCAGCCCTGAAGGCGACTTCTTCCTGATCTTGATCTCACTCTCTGAGTCTGTGTACTCAAATTCTGTCCCTAGGTGCAAAGGATTTAACCATCGGTCAAAGCCTTGGTTGAGCCAAGAGAGGACACATCCCGCTGGAAGCGTTCGGGTTCCATGAGAGATGCTGTGCCTGTTCAACAGAGCCCTTGCTTGTTCCCCTTTCCAATTCCCCACATCCCCTCAGATCTGCATTTCTGCCCCATAAAACACTGATTTCTCTGGAAGTAAAGTCTCCCCTGCTCCAAAGCAGAGCCCAACCATTCAGGCAGTGTGGTTCAGCATGTTGTCTGCTTCCATTTCTCCCTTGTCCCACAGCCAAAACCCTGCCAGAAAGCTCTTACTAGAACAGATACTCTAACTTGTGCCCCTCCTCAAAAAGGAGCTGTTCCACTGAAGCCGAGCACGAATCCCACAAGCTGAGCCTCCCACCCCTCCCAGTTTCACCTTTGTTTCAGGAGAACAATCTCTTTTAACAAATGTAATAAACCCATATTTCAAGCTTATTTTTTCTCATTGGCCAACAGACACCACAGATCTTTTTACTGGTTCAGGTAATCACCTTAAAGTCAAGAGAAGTAAATGATCTTTTGTCTGTGGCAAATGGAAATCCCCTCACATTGGTCTCTGCTCAGCCCCACAGGCACAGCAGTACCCAGGGGCCTCAAATATTGTAGTAATGCCAAGATGTTCCCCACCTTCAGTGTGTTTCCCTGAACCTGATAAAGGAAAGCAAGATCATGTTTCCAGGGGCAGAAGGGAAACTGAGGCAGCACCTACACACCCATGGGCAGAAGGTATGCAAACAACATTCATGTGGGAAAATGAAAATGTACATGGCACATGAGAGGACAGCATCTTCTCTCAGTCCTTCTCTCTCAAACTCACTTTCCTGGGTAAATTCAGTCTGCAGGAACCTGCTCTCATCTTCTAAGTAAACCCCTTTCCCTGAGACAGCCCCAGCATGAACAGGAAAAGAGCCAGCCTGTCAAAACCAAAGCTGGCAAGGCTCAAAATAAAAAACCCACTGGAAATTAAAACACTCCTCCTCTCTCACTACCGCATGAGGTAATTTCTAGATGCTTCCAGTTTCAAGGAGGGCAGGTTACAAGACAATAAATTCTTAACAGAGGTTGTTGGAACAAGTTGGCAAAAGCCTAATATAGCATGGAAACAGTGCTAAAACAAGCCAGGCTCCCGAGGAGGACATAATTTTCCATTCTGAAGCATGCTATAAATTCCATTATCACTTAATAAATATTAATAGCAAATTTATAAATGGAACCCATATAGATCTGTCTGACCGAGAACAATGTCACCAGTGGGCACTTGTGCAGCAGGGCACGGGGAGGGGAAGAAATGAAACTCCCAACACATTGAAAGTGAGACAGAGACGGGACAGAAACCCAGGGTCTGGCACTGCAAACACACAAGCAGAGGAAGGAATGCTTGTTTCAAGTCTTGCTGGCTGGTTTCTATAAGGAAGCTGATGGGATGGACCGACTGAAAGAGTTTTCCTTCTGCTTGAGTGTTCTGCCTGAGTGTCTCTGCTTCTCTTGGGTATCCAAGATCAGCTGCATTTAGCACATGCTTCCTTCCCTAAATGTTAACAGCACTTCACTGCCTTCTGCACTTTGTCCAGGGGGATGCAGCATCCCACTGCTTGCCTTTGCCACACGGCTGCTGAGGATTTTCCAGGTAGGAAAAGAAGAATCTGACAAAGCCACAGGGAACTGTCCCTAGGGAAGCCAGAGCTGCAGTTGCTAAACCTGGTTCCTGTTTTCCTGCCAGGTCGTTTTCCCCACCTTCAGCATCAGGACCAAGTAGCCAAAGCAAAAAAAGGGCAACTCAGTGTCTGGGTAACAACCTGCTCTCTTGCAGCACAGCTGGGGCCTCCCAAACCTTCCACCTTGCCCCCGTGGCACCAACCCAAGCCACGCAACGCACCCATCAGGCTCTGCCGCTCCTCCTTCTTCTTCGCCTTCTGCTTGGCCTCCAGCTGGATGATGGAAAGCGGAGGGGGCACGATGGGGCTGGGCATGGCGCTGGCAGCAAACCTGGCCAGAAGGCCCAGGCCGCTCTCATCGAGGGCAGGCGACGACAGCCTGTCTGTGCCGTCCGTGCCATAGTCCTCTGCCTCCTCCTCTTCCTCCTCGTCGTCGTCCTCCTCCTCCTCCGAGCTCGAATCTGGCACGCAGAAAAGAGGGAGCCCGTTACAAATCTCATGGAGTTGCACTTCCCCTACATTTCCAAACCGAACCACAACCCTCCTGCTGCTCTGTGCTCACCTAAGTAGCACTGAGACACCCAGGACTGAGCCAGAAGACACTGGGCCATGGACACACACGTGTCCTTGCGGCCACAGAGCCGGTGTCACCTGCCTGCCACCACCCTGGAAGGACACAGCAATACAGGGTACGGCAAAGAGGACCCACTCAAGGCGAGGGAGGGAAGAGCAGGGTGCTGGCAGATTTGAAAAGGATGCCACACACCCCTTCCCTGCAGCTTTCAGGAGGAATTAAAAGCTTAATTCCTTTGAAAATCCCAACCTGGGAGCTGTGGGATTCCCCTCCCGCCCACCACCGCTTCCTCCATAATGAAATCCATTAATGTAATCAGAATCAGAGATCAGCATGGAAGGGGAATACCAGAGAGCAGCCTGGGCCGTGGCAGGAAGCAAGGGGGACAGAGAGGGGAGAAGGAGCAGGAGGCAAAAATGCAAAGAGAGGGGGGAGAGAAATAATAACTTGAAAGCAATGGATTTGGAATGCATAAGGGAGGAAAGTGTAGGCAGTGTTGGAGAGAAGGAGTAGTGTTTAAACACTCTGCCTCAAAACTCTCTGTGCCTTTCATTTCCCTTTCTACAGCTCAGTCTAGGGAAGCCCAGCTCAGCACAGGCAGCTGCCCACAGCCAAAATCTAATTCTGGCAAAGAAATCAGCCTCGCTGCCTCGGCTGACACTCACAGAGCAGTGGGCTGGGGGTTTCCTCTATGCTGTATATACAGCAGGTATTTTGGGGGTAGATGCTCCAAGAGTGGCACCTCTCCCTTCCTACAGCACTTCCCAAGAGTCTGTCAGCAGCTCAAAAGCAATTAATTTTAACAGCATCTCATCCAGTTACTGCTGGTGAGCAAGTCACTACACAAATGCACTATACCACACACATACTTATACACACATATATGAGCACATATATCTATTTTTTTATATATATATATGTTTAACAGTAAAAAGTGGGTCTGGAAAAGATATTTCATTTCTCTTGAAATTGAGGGCTTAAGTAGGATCATTGAGGCTGCTGGAAAATTTCCACCACTAGCAGGAGCCCTGCTCTGAGCCCACTCCCCAGCTCCTACCAGCCACTATCCCTGCCTCTAAAATCCAGCCAAATGAGAAACCAGATCCCTTCAAAATGAGCTGGAATGAACATGAAAATCCTTTTCTTTTCACATATGCCCTCTGGGATAGATAAAAACGTCCTCAACACTTGGCTGTTCAGAAAAAAAAAATACAATAACACAAGTGTTATTTTTCCATGATATTAGAAAGAACAGGAATATCAGAAAACAATGTTCTCATCCTCGTATTGTATCAACTGAGGTAATGGGCAGCTTTTTTCCTTGCTTTTTGGTTTTTTAAACAAGGACAGTTTATCTCTGCAGCATACATCAGATAGCCACAGAATACTAATTTTTAACTGCATAAAAATCCCTTCCCCATTTCAGTTGCTCAGGCTGGTTCCTTGTGATATTAAAATGCTACTAAACTTGCAGTAAATACCAAGAAATCCACAGCCCTGTTCACTCCTTGCATAAAAGCCACTGGTAAAAAAAAAAAAATCTGCAGCAAATTGGGATCAGATTGCTTCCCCTACCAGAAAAGGGGGGGCACAATTGCTGTTTTCCTACCATATTTTGCCAAAAAGAAAACGAATTCAGATGAATTTGGTTACTCTGAGATGTGGAAACCACCTGCCTGAGAAGCAGTAAAACCATGCCTGAGTTCAGTGACACACCATGGGGTAGTGAGAGCCTCTCCACACATCCCATTTCACTCTGAAATTCAGTGATTTTCAGCAAAAACGGGAAAAAAAATTGGAAAAAATCAACCTGTACAGCCTCTAATGCCAGACTTAGACAGTTGGCTGAGGACAGAGCAGCCGGGAGGAAAACAGGCAAAAAAAAGGGGGAAAGTTTGCAGGAAAATCCCTCCATGGCCAGTCCAGCCCCCGTGGCTCAGCCACGTCACCAGCAGCACCACTTCTTCAGCACTTAAAGGCTGCATGTGCAAGGGCATAAGGGTGCCCAGCAGCTCCAGTATTTCACATGCACTCAGGTAAAAGAGATTTAAAAGCCAGGATGAAAGCAGCTATTACTCACCCTACAGAAAATACACTACACAATAATGTCCCTGGCGGTTATTCCAACCTCCTTCACACACACGGCACCGCGCTATGGAAAGGCAACTGAAGACAGTCCCTTGTCAGCAATTTTACTACAACACTTGTATTTTTATCCACAGGAGATACAATTTTAACCCCATTTTAACACATTCACAGCACAGATCCATCCTCCTCCACCTCTCACGGCGAGGACAGATCTTGCTAACCCCACTCCACATGCACAACACAATCCCCGCTCCCTTTCTTTCTGCTTTTCCAAGGGACAAAAAGTAACAAATGAAACAAAAAGAAGACATTTGGGGCTCTGCTCCAAACCCACATGCTTCTAAACTAAGTCCCCAACTTCTGGTCATGGTGGCAAGTAAGCTGCTGGTGCTCTCTGGCCATCTGCACAGCTCCTTGGAGAGCCTGTATTTAATAGAAAGCAGGAGTTTTACTCCTACTGTACTCAAACTATGTGTGGGTTTAAAATTAACTATGCACAGATGCCTTTACACAACTGAAGCCTCAATTCTATTTTTTTTTCCTCCTGAGAAGTTAGCAACGGGGAAAAAGACATTTTAAAAAAATAATTTTTTCCTTCAACAGTAATTCTGTTGACACTGAGCGAGGGTAAGGGAAAAAAATACTCGAAGTTAAAAATATCTGTTTTAACTGACGTTTTTAAGAGCATGTATATGTGTGTATATACCCACACATGCAACCACACGTGTACATACAACTCCACAGCCAAAACAAACAATAAATTAATATTTAAATGCTACTGATGTCAGATAAAATGAAGCCAGAGATTTTTTTTTAAGTTATTTTTACCTGCGTTAAATTAAAACCCTAACCCAGTTCAAAATACTAAGTTTTCTCATTGCTTTTAACAGCTAAGCTGCCGTGGTATGTTACTGAAGGAGAGCAGTAAATGCAGATTTGTTAATGATGAACAGAAATTGGTTAAGCAATTTGGTATTTAGAGACTGATGTATGTAACAAGATGGCTTGAGGGGAGTGTGGAGAGGAAAGGCTGGGGAAGGGAAGGAGTAAAAACACACACTTAAAAGAGTCATTTCACATTGTAAAAATAAATAGCATGATTTTTTCAAAACACCAAGCAGGCCTACAGCATACAAAGCAGGCTAAGTACAGGCAGACTTTAGACAGCTACTGGGTCATTGACATCTGATTTCTGTGATCTGTCCAAATTCTGAAGGTTACTTAGTTTTGAATGTCCAATTTGAGACTGTACCTTTTTTTTTTTTTTCACGTAAGCCAATTCTCATCATTGGAAGATTTTTTTCCCCCCATATGTGCTGTGCTGTTGACTCCAGAAGTGCTTATTAAAAAAAAAAAATATTACAACTATCACATGGAAATGACTGTGTAGGGAACTGGTTATCCCTCACTGCTTTGTTTTTCATTGGGGTAAAATCATCGTCTAAGTTGGGGAAAGGAGAGTAGGGAAGAAGTTACTAAATTCTTAATGAAAACAGAGTATGGAGGAGAAGGACATATGGGTCTTTGGTTTCAGAAAGCTCAAGGAATTACCTGTCCTGATAGTTTTCAAAGACCCATGTGGCTTTAGCCCACATTAGCAGTTTCCTCTCCAAGGTCACTGGATTAAAAAGCACAAGCTTTGCCTCCTATCAGAATGGCAATGTGATGTTTGGTCTGTAAGAAAGCAGCGTGTCCTCACCTCCTCTATCTCAACCCAGATGAAATAAAACAGGTCTTCCTGTAGCTAATCCTACCTCTGACACAGATTCTGGCAGGGCCCTGGCCAGGCAATATCCCTGATAGTGGGACAGTCTGCACCACGGCTCAGAAACCCCTAAGGGCAGCAGCAGAGTCTTTGCATCTTGGACCTATCTGCAAATCCCTCCCTTGGCTGGGCTAAGGGGTTCTCAAAAAGAAGTTCTGCAAAGAGAAAAGCATTTCTGGAGTCCTCAATCACACGCACACAAGCAAACCCTTCCATGCAAGACTCTTCCTGGACAGAGAAAAGTCAAAAGCAGACAGCAATCATCTTCAAAGTTAAAATAACCAAGAGAATGCAAAGAGCTACGTGTCATTATTCATGGAGGCAACATCGAAACGTCTGAGGCTGACAGATGACATAAAGAAAAGTTATTTTGCCTACCTACATAACAATGGTCAAGGTTCAGGTTCATGGCTAGTGACCCTCGCTGAGAAGTGTCTGCCCTACAACCAGCCAACCACTTTGCTTCTTTAGTGCAGCGTGAGAGCAAATGCAAGAGACCGACACAGACATTCAAAGCATCATGGATAGGGGCAGGGGTGAAAGGGTTGGTCAAGCAGCTGCAAGGAGAAAGCGAGCACTTCTAGAAAAGCTGAGGTTATTAATCGGTTTAGTATTCAGGGAAAGCCATTAGAAACCCTATTACCCAAATATCCCTTCAAGAAATGCTTCTGACAAAGAACAACCAAAAAAAAAAAAAAAAAAAAAGAAGTCATTTGCAAAAAAAAAGAAAAAAACAAAAACACAAACCACCCCAAATTGTAACCAATAATCCCTCCCTGCCTCCCCATCCATGCCCACCTCCCACCCCAGGGGGTTTTGCATCTTTGGTTTCCCCACCATAAAATGACACCCCAGAGGGATTTACAACGTATTTTCCCATTTGTTCCAGATTCCCCAACCTCCTCCCATATCCCCTCCCTTCCCCAGATTTCATCCCATAAAACTGGGATTTGTAATTTCTTTTTATTTTTTTTAATAAAGCAGACAGGTTACTTGAAAAATAAACAAAGGGACAAGTTACCTCTCTGCTTACCTGGAGCAAAACCAAAAGGCAAACCCAAAAAAACCCCAAGAACTTGGCACCTAAATGGGATTGATATCCTCAAAATTTCCAACAGCAGCAAAACAAACAAAGAAAAGATGCAGGAAGGAACAGGGAAGGGAAGAATGGAAGTTAACGCAGACTCTTCATGTAAATGTGGCAATCTCAGCCTTACATAAAATCCACTATCCTCACAACTTTTTAGGTTCTCTAAAGAAAAATTTTTCTTTTTTCTTTGAAATGCATTGGTGGGTCCAGCCCAAAGCCACATCAAACCAAATCAATGTTCCATATCTTTGTCATGTTTGATCTTTTTATTTTTTTTTTTTTGAGCTTAAATTATCTTTATTTGGAGGTTGGGTTTGGAGGGACGAAAAACCAAACAGGTGCACAGAGGAAAAAAAAAAAAAAAAAGCAAACCAAAACAAAAGACAAACTATCCAGCCCCATTTTCAATTAACAGCCCTGAGCAGTGTGAAACACTAAAAGGCTTTTGCTGAGCTACATCCAGCTCTGCCATGTAACTTAGATGATAACAACTGGGGATGCTCTTGCTTAGCATTCAGCCCAGCCGAGCTACTTTCTTTTGGGAGCTGAGGGCTCATTAAAATGACCTTTCCCCATGATTATTATTTAATGAGTGCGCTCTAAAACAGAAACCCCTTGTGTCTCTGGAGGAAAAGTCTCAAGTAATCTCTTTTCCCACTGAAGTACTAATGACAGGCTGACAAAAAAAAAAGCTGCAAGAAAAAAACTGGGGTGAGGGAGGGAAACTGCAGAGTCAAATTTAATGCAGTAATTGCCACATCCTTGAACAGTGTGGGTTACGTCTGGGCATCTGAAAAAAAAAATTTACCACCCAAAAAGAGACACAAAACCGCAACGTACAGGTTTTAAAAAGTTTTAAAAAAAAATTTTGGGTTGGTAAATACAACCCAGCACCCCTCTGCAGCAGCAAGGAGCAAGTGCCTCCATGTTTTATCTGCCTGTCTCAAGAGAGTCTATCAGAAAACAAACTGAAAAAGATAAAACCAAAAATGGGTGAACAAATTAAAAATTAAATTAAAAGGGTTGAGGGGGAAGGGGAGGGGAAGCCTTTGTCCTTTATCTGGACAAAGGCAGCAGGGATATTTGAATAATAGAGAGTACCCCAGACTAGGTTAATTCCAGTTCTACTGATGGGGAGTGGGAGCAGGAGGGGGATGCAGAGCAGGATGGAGTGAAGCGGCAACCTAATCGCCTGATAAGAGACACAGCAAGAGAGACAAGGTACACAGGTTTAGTTAAAAATGAACTCGGTATGTTTAATAAAGCTTGGTATACCAAATCGCAGTACAAACATCAAGTCACACGGCCACACAACAGTATCCCAGTATTAAAAAAAAAAAAAAA